CCAATCCTTTTTAGAAAATTTTAAAAATAGCTCTTGGAAATATAAAATGGGTTAAAATCCATTTTTTTCATTAATTTTCAACTTCATTTAAATGTATTTTGTTTTAATCATTCTTTATACGCTTTTCACATTTTAATAGATTTTTTGAATTTTTTTATTTTTTTCAACACTTTTTTGACCGCCTGGGGCTTGCCCGATTAGAGCGGAATCAACCGGTTTACCAGTTAGGCCGGTTAAACTGCTTCCAGGCCCATGTCCGGTTAACCGCTCTGGTTCGATTCTGCGAACACAGGTTTGGCCCCCCATGCCCCCCCCCCCCCCCAAACCAACACCCCCCTCCTCCTGCTCCGTTCTCTTACTCTCTCAAAAGCTCTAGCCCTTCCCGAGGTATCTCCCTCTCTTAGTTTAAGCCCTTCCTTTGCCCTCGCAACCCTCTCCTCTTCTTCCATTTGCTTGCCAACCCATTGCGCACACATTCCCCCCCCCCCTTGCCTTCTAGTTCCCTCTCATTCCCTTTTCTTCTACAGCGAACGACAAACAAAGGTCTTCTAGCAAGAACAAGCCAGAAGAGGCTCTTGGCATATCCCCTTCCTATTCGACCAAGGGAGCTCGTCCAATACAATCTCATAACTGGGCTTCTGCGATTTCTCAATTGTCAGAGACGCATATCTCGCTAAACAGGGTAACTCCAGCCACTGGGAGTCCAACAACAGACCCTTCTGCCCAATTATTCCTTTAATGGGCTCTCTCCTCCTCTCTGGACCCTCCTTACCCTCTTTCCTATTGGCCTTCCCCCTCTTTTCAGGCACTTTCCTCATCGGTAGCTTTTCCATTTTCATATAATTTCCTTTCTAGAAGTAGTTTTCTATAATTCTTCCCCCCCTGTAGTCTGAGCTACCAGTTTGTGGGATGCCTTACTTACCTCAACCTGATCTAATGTAATGTATCATTTTTTATTTAACAAAGTTAACCAGTTTTTAGAAAAAAACAAATGCACACACACCTATCTACAATTCTACATACATTAAAACAAGTGCTGTCTCTCCCTTCCTAGCCAAGAGCAAGCCCATGCATGGCACGTGCTGTTGAGCACACACACATACAACACGCGCACACATGCATATTACGCACAAAGGCCCTTTTATGTGTATGAATATGCACTAGTCCGCAGCCTGTGTGATGCATAAGAGTACCAATCAAAATTATAAACTATTTTTCAAATATCACATTTAAAATTAAAACAAATTATTAAAGAAATAAAACTTCATAAAAAAATATACAAGTGTCATATTCCTCATTTGGAAAATAAAAAATTAAAGGGAATCCTTATAATTTATCATAGGGAAAATATCTTCATACCCCCCATTTTTAAGTTTTAAATCTCAATAGACCCAAGGTTTCAAAACATATCTTGAGTCATAAAAATTCCAACTTTTATATTTTTTAACCCCCTAAGCTAACTTTATCCCCTTTAAACCTATTTTTTTGCCCCAAACAAATATTAAAAGACAATCCTTTCTAAACACCATCTTTTCTCTCTTCACGTGATTTTCCCCTAAATCTCTCTCTACCTATTTTCCCACTCTCTCTCCCCTTGTGTCTCTCACTCTCTCTCTCCCCCGTTAGACAGACAAAGAGGGTGAATTTTAGAGAGAGAAATTTGAGGGGAATATATCACGTAAAGAGATGAAGGGTTTAGAATGAGCATATCTTTTTTATACTTATACTTGTTAGGGCTAAAAAAATAGTTAAAAGTGGGTAAAGTTAGTCAGGGGTTAAGAGATATATTTTGAATCTTTGAGTCTATTGAGATATGAAAACCAAAAATAGGGAGTACGAGGGTATTTCCCCTTTATCATATATGGAGATAAGCTTTATTCATTAGAAATATGTTGTTTAAGGATAACTAATTTATTCAATTCCTATTTTTAAAATGGACAAGAAATTGTTAAACAACAAAATCTCATTATTAAAATTCACATGATCATGACTTGGAATAGTTGAAAAACGGTAAAACGTTAAATACTTGATAAATTAAGTGTATATTATAAATTTCCATTCTTATTTTACTTAAAGAATAAAGAAATCCAAAGAAAAATAAAATTCATCTTAATCCCTACATCCTTACATGCAACAAAACCTTATTATAAGGCAAGCTTCCCACTTTATAACAAGAATGATATGCAAGAAAACCTTATTCATTACTCTAATGTACAAGGGGAGCTTCCTACTTTGTAAGGAGAGACGGAATATTTAAAAGCTATTGTTCATCAAGTGTAATAAAAATCAACTTGGCAATAGAACTCGCCCCCTAGGAGAGTCCAAGACAACTTGCCGAAGCCCTCACCCAAGTCACCACAAAGTTCCTAAAAAGCCCAACAACTCGGGAAAATAGTAAAAAATTGGTAAAAATCATAAGAAAACAGGAAAACATAAAAAAGCATATCACAGATGGATTACGAATTTAAAGTAACAGTGAAATTTACCCAAGAACAATCAAGTGAAATTATTAATAATATCCCAGCTATTTTTGAAAATTTAAAAATACCTAAAATCTTCATATATTAAGCCCATACCCATTTCTGCCCTTCTTTAGTTCCATACCTAAAATGTCCCCACTATAGATCTGTTACGTCTATGGTGCTGGAACGTGATATGGATCTATTAAATCCATGGCGGTCCTTACCACTACGGATCTAATAGATCCACAATGATAGGTCCATAGCAGTGCAAATTAATTCCAAGAACCACCAAAATGTTGTAGGGGCTAAACCGCTATGGACCTAAGGTCGAGAGCAATGATGTTGCGGACTTCTTAGGTCTTAGTGGTAAGAACCGTTAGCACTGGTAAAGCACCACGGATCTAACAAATCCATAGCAGGAGCATTATAAGAAAACTTGTTTTGTTTGTTGGGGGGGCAGTGGGAAGGGCATGCTCGTAATATATGAAAAGTTTAGGTATTTTTTAAATTTAAAAAACTGATAGGGATATTAAAAATAATCCCCAAAAATCAATTATATGAATTTAAATTGAAAAAACATGAAATCCACCCAAAATTTTGATGCTGATCCCCCAATCTTCATGCTCAGTGCAAATCAATGTCTTCAATCATTGTTAAAGTTTCCTTAGACAGCCCCAATCGAAACCCCAAAACCAGATTTGGGTTTCGATTTCGATTCTTGCAGATCTATGTTCTTGAAATTTTTGGATGAATAATAAATCTGATTACAAAATCTCATAAATCTGATGTTTTCTCTTTTTTGGGTGAAAAATAAGCCTATTATTGGATGAAGAACCCAAGGAATAAATTTCAATGAAGATCAACCAACCGTTGCAAAGAAATCACAACTCTTCGAAAATGGCCAAAACCTAGGGCAATGTTTTGATTTCTCAAATCTGTCAAACTCAATGATTTTTGCTCAAATCTAATACATCTAGTGGATAGATCATACAAAAAGAGTCTATGGGAGAAATTTGGGCTCAAATGTGTATGGTTTTGGTCAAATAAGAAAAAATTATATATCTCCAAGTTGGGGGTTTTCCCAGAATTGGCAAGCCTCGGCAGCCTGCCGAGTCCAAGTGATCTGGGTGAGCTCCTCAACTTGTACTCAGAGATAAATCTAAAAATATGTATGGCCTTTATTGAAGTATGATGACACACCACTCTTATTTACTAAGAATTTAAGAAATTTAATATAGTATAGATACATGTATGCACATATGCACGTATGTGTGACTGCAGGTATATAGTATGCACATGGGCATCTGGACTGATTTTGCATTGCTTGATCTCTTTTGAATCTAGATATATACATGCTATAAATGTAACCTTAGCTGTATATTTATATAGAAAACACAAGTGTGTCTAAAGCACATATATATAAAATTATGAATTTGCAGATATATAAATGTACATACGTATAATTCTATCCGATTTATTTCTAAGTAAATCTCAGTTTGGTATGGGCAAAGATGTGCTTCAGCCACTTCTCAAAATACTTCAGACTTTTCAAGAAATAAGAAATATGACTACATATGAAAATATATGAGACACTAAAAAAAGAAGTGAAAACTCCAAAGAGAATAAGTTATTTTAGAAAATTCCAAACAAACTTACAAAATGTTAATTTAGAAAATATAGAGACAACCAAATACAACTGAATCACTTTTTTTTATCATATTTATGAATACGACATCGTAAAAGCAAGCTTTTACATTATTCACTGATTCATTGATAGTTTGTCCCAGGTTACTAATCCACTTGAATTCACAACAACCAAACCATTAAAAAAAAAACCACAACCATTCAAGAGCATAATCTAATAGCAAAATAAAACTTAAGTGGTACAGTTTATAATAGAAAATTTACAAAGTCCCAAGTGTGGCAGATTTTAAAACCGTCACATGTATAATTACCAAAAACAGAGTTATGGTGTTCAATTGTGCGTGCGTGTGTTTGCATGTCTACAGTCATATACATATGTTCATTCATGTGCACGTGCAGAAGAAGAAAAGTAGTGGTGGGTTTTTTTTTGTTTGGGGGGGCGGGGTTGCCATGGGGAGGGATTGTGTGAAGAGGAATCAATAAAAAATACAAAACTCAAAGAGAAGATATATGGTTTATAAGGATATCAAATCTGTTGCAATAGATGTTTATTTTTGACATTGCAATAGGATGGAAGCAGGATGTAGAAGCCAAGAACGTACAAGATCAATCAGCTGATAATTTCGGTAACAAGGGTGAGAATTTGAACAACAGAGTTGGAGAGTTGTTCATAAGTTGGTGCATCTACGTGAACTTCACACGTTTCAATGCCCTTTCTTTCTAGTTCATTATACAGTACCGTGTTATCTCATTCAATAAGAAACAAATACCACCAGATAATTTATCAAAAAAAAGGGAGGAAGTGGGGGGGGAGGGCGAACCACCAGGAGACAATGAACGAGATCAATGAATTCAACCAGTCGAGACTTGATCATGGAAAAAGACAGAGACTACCAAGAGACAATGAAGCAGATCAAGGCAATCATCCAGTTAGGATTTGAAGGAGCTTGTGGACGCCTTTGACAACAAATGCATCCAGCTGCCGTGTTGAGGATAACTTGGGCTAGCATAAGGGCCACTGCTGCAGTTAGTCCAAGGGCTAAAGCAGGGCTCCTGGGGTATATGCATGAAGTATCTGTCATCCGAACATCAGCAGCCTGCATAACAATTCCAAACGAGAGAGAGAAGGTTAGAAACTATCCATGGTAAAGAGTACATGAATTATCACTAAGAGAAAAGTGGTTCTTATTACTAGGAAATATTCCTAGTATTGCTGGGGAATGGACCAGTAAAATACATATAGAAATTCCAGGAACTTGTGAATTAATAAAGACATAGTTACTGGATTTTATTGCATATGCAAGTAGCTACATACTCTTATTACTCTATCAATTGATTTTAGATGGAAGTCTTATGCTCACCATTCTTTATAAATCACCTATAAGAGAGACTCAGTTTAGCATTAAGAAAAGTTCTAACTTTTTTAATAATTTTCATTTTTTTGCTGGGTTTTTTTTGCTTGTAGTTCATAGTCATGTACCAAACATTGTCAATGGGATTCTCAAATTATTTTTTTATTTATACAGTGTGTGCCTCCCAAGAACTCAATGTATAATTAGACAAGGATTCATGGTCAATATTAGAGTCATCTAGGATTCTGAATACAAAGTCACAGAAGCTATACTTAACCTTTTGTTAGTCTGGCACTGCAGCATTTGATATGGAGATCAAAATTATATACAATTGAATCAATTCTGGAAAACTAATTGGGAGATATCTATTTGCTGTGGAATGAATTCCATTTGGGTCTTAATTTAGGATTCCAGTTGTCAAGATGGTCCCACAATCTCTGTTTATGTAGCTCACAGTGTGATACAGAAAGCATCCACACTGGGGATCTCCACAAGCTTAAACTTTGGCGGGAACTCTATTGGGATGTCAGGACCCTCAGGAATTGGAAGTATTATTGGGAAGCGTGTGTTTGGCCATAGCTGATCATATGGCTATTGTGATGCTAACAGGGCAGAGGTGGTTGCTCTTTACACTGGTCTCGAGTTATCCTATCTAAGCATTTCAGATCCACCAATGGTTGAAGAAGATTATATGAACTTTATCCGATAGGCAAGTAAGGAAAGCCAGGTCCCCAGGAACTTGGCAGATGTTACTGAGGAGCTTAAGGGTTTGTGTCATGGAAGATAGGTCATCTTTCATCATGTAACGAGGAGGGGAAATGGCTTAGCTGATTCACTGGCCGTGGTCGGTAAGCAAAGGAAGATCTTTATGTTGGACATGTCTTCTCTTTCCTCCTCTCCTTTCTAAACTCCTGCTATGCCATGTATATCTCAGTTTGTCTACTCCTTCCGTAGCAACTTGACACAAACAGCTTCTCATTCGATACTTAACCTTTACAGGGGGGGGGGATGGGAATTCTAGGATTTGATGAGCCAGACTCCTATACCATGTGAATAATAATAATAACATGAAGTGGTAGGTAAATTGCAAACTAACTCATTATTGATAAGTTCCACCTCATTGATAAAAAAGGGTATATAAAGCATCTCATGGATAGCACCTATGCCATTCAAGCTAAATGTAAAGCTAGTATTAGCATGATCCAGTGGTTTGGACTCATTGAAGAATCAACAAGTATCAGGCAGAGTTCCACAAACGCTCCATCTTCCCTCTCGTGTAGTGTGCCGACAAGTGTCGACAATTAGACACATACCGCCACGCTCAGACAGGCACCTGGCACATTGTCTTTACATGTCTGAAAATTCATTGTCCAACACTGCTTGTTGGCACATATATAGGACATGTCTGATATTCAGACACGCAGTGTGGACTGTTTACTTTCTATGAATAAATCTCACATTCACAGGGTTTGAACTCATTATCATTCCAGGCAACATTAAAAGCGCTACCACTGAATCATCAATTTGAATATGTACACTATTTTTTGAGAATGAAAATTTTTATTAATTCAAAAGCCACCATGTGGCCCACACCCGTCCTATAAAGAAGGCACCAATCAAAGGAAAGCAAGTCATGAACCTGATCCATATGTCACATTGACATCAATTTGAATATGTATACTATTAAAACTACACCATACTTAATTAGAGATACAAAGTAACAACATATCACAACACGATACTCAAAAAAGAGAAAAAAAGTATACTTTAATACATGCACATACATATATTTAAGAATGTATTTAATATGTTATCAACTTATTATCACAAGCATATGTTTATCGATATATTTCATACGTATTTGTTATTAATTTATTATTATATTGATATGGTCCCACACAGGAAAAAATATCATCCCTTATAAAACATGCTTGTTTTACTTTCTAAAATTTAGATATGGTCTATAATCTAATTGTAAATCACCCATTATGGGATTTGAACTTGCACGCTTCAATTTAGAGCGCGTTTGTTTTCTGGAAGACACAATTTCAGAAACCACGTCTTCCAGAACTATAGCACTTCCCTCCCAAACCGGTTCGCATGTGTTAAACCAGCATTTTTATGATAGGGAGAAACACATCAAAGCTTCTTTTTTTTTTTTCCACCTCACAGCTAGCATTGTAAATCTGTGACACATAAGTCAGGATTTCAGTTGGGAATTTCCATACAAAAGGGAAGACCTCATTGAGAAACTAAGTGATAAGCTTCCACTTCACAAACTGTCACTAATTGATTTCCTAGCTCAGAGCTGGTTGGTACAGTTCTTTAAAGTTTTACCCCCATCCACAACAAGTTGAATTTCACATACAAGCAGGGCCAATTTTCTCTAGCTATTGGCCTTGCACCAAATGCTGAATATAATGGCCTGCGTATCTAAACCCGTCACATTGGTAATTCCATATCTGAGGAAAGATTACATATGTAATTATTATAGGACAAACCAGTTCACTGGATAGCCAACTTGTTGCAATAATCAGTTGCATAAATTAACGGAACTAAAACCATTTACTACATGAATACAAATAGTAAATATTAGATCGACAGATAAAATACACAAAATGTCCATAAATGTGCAAAAAGGAGAGGAAAATAATAATAATAAATGCCCCGCAAACCAGACAATGACAGTGCTAGAACCAATGATATAACTTCATTATAAATTAAGGTTGAAAAAAACCCATTTATAACTGAGTGCATGCTCTGAACGCAGCAAATGAAAAAAATCAAAAAGAAATTTTATAAGAAAACTACGGATAGAACAAATATAAGAACAAAAATAAAGAAATAAGAAGGAAGAAGAAAAACCCATTACAGGACATAGTTTAGTAATAAAAGTAGATAACTGAAAAAGAAACAGGAAAAAACACCTTGGCATGAAATGAAAGGCTATGAAAATAATCCACAAGGGCATTGACAACAAAAGAATATCTTTTGTTGATTATTGATAATAAAAATAAAAAAAAAACTGTCAATACCACTCTTTTATAGAAACCACTAACAATTTCAAGAAGCCAGTTAGAACATGAAAAGCCAATCATTAATAGAAAGCAGAGAGAGAGAGAGAGAGAGAGATTTTAACAGAGAGAAATGGGAGAAAAGGCTTACCCTGACATGCTTAGCCTCTGCAGCAAAACCCAAAACAGTAGCCACAACCCCAAGAAAACCAGCAGGTATACACACCATCATAACGTTCTTCTCCATTTCTTCTCACCAAAAAACACAAAAAATCTCTCTCTCTCTCTCTCTCTCTCTCTCTCTCTCTCTGTCTCTCTCTCTCTCTCTCTTCTCGTTACGTACGTCGTCGTA